CTGGGGATTGAACTCAGGCCCTTGCACTTGCCAGGGAAGCGCTTATTCCACTGAGCCATCTCCCCGGTCCCCTATTTTATTCTATTATAATTTGTTATTACCAGTCTTTTTTCTTTATATTATTAATACCTTCTAAAGTTAATTTTCCTTATCTTTTTTTTGGTGGAATGAGGGATTGAACTCAGGCCCTTGTGCTTGCCAGGCAAGCACTTACTCTACTGAACTATCCCCCTAGCCCTCCTTATCTTAAAGGCACATTTTTTCTATATTCTAGAAATGTACTGTTTTATTTGCAATCAGCTAGACGTGACTTTTTGTGAAAAGTCTGAGGCAGCTGGCTAGGATAATAGGCACAGGGTCCCCTCACTTACTCTGTGGAGGTCACGCTCCAGACACCCCGTGCATAAGTGAAAATCAGCGAAGTAGCAACGTTATATTTATTTTGGTATTTATATATATTTAAGGCTTTATAAATCCTTCCCACACTGTTATAAACCTTTCCCACATTTTAAAAAACACTAATGTTTTTAACCATTTTCTAAAATTGTACACCTACATAATTTGAACAGCATATGTATACTGTATGGTACTGCAAAATCCTGTGACATAGTGAAAAATCCACAATAAAAATTTTGATTAATATATGGAATGCTTCACGAATTTGTGTCATCCTTGCACAGGGGCCATGATAATCTTCTCTGTATCGTTCCAACTGTAATATACGTGCCGCCGAACCAAGCACTAGATTAGTATTTTTTTGAAAATCTGCAAAAGTGGTACCACAAGAGGTGAACTGCAAAATAGTGAGGGACTACTGTGTAAGGAGATCCAATTGATACATGACCATTGTTACAAAAAGTACAATCCTTCCTCAGTGCCCGATGATCCCATCTTTGTCACAAGTGACCATCGTGTATGGATTTCTTTCTGTACTCAGCGGCCTTTCCTTCTACTTGCCTATCCTTGCTCCAATACCAGAATTACTGTACTTTTATAAAAGGCTTTGACATTTGATTAACTTGTAGTACTACACGATCAACTATGTCATCCCACAATTTTTTTTTTTTTTTT